AATGTGGGGGCACCTGGGTGGCTCAGTTGGTTAAGTGTCTGATTTAGACCCAGGTCATGATCTTGCCGTTTATGGGTTCAAGCCCCACACTGGGCTCTGTGCTGACAGCTTGGAGCCTGGAGCCTGCTTTGGATTCTGTGTTTCATTCTCTCTCTGCCCCTCCCCAACTCACACTCTGTCTCTCTGTGTCTCAAAAATAAAAACATTAAAAAATGAAAAATTAAAAAAAATAGATACGATGGACTGTGTCCACCTTTTGGCTATTGTGAGTAATACTGCTACTACAGCTTACTATTTTATATTACTGATAATAAAACGATTGAAAACTACCTTTATCTTGTTAAGCTGAGCAAGTTAGGCACATAGAAACTGTCACCACATACATAATGGAGCCCTTGAGGGAAATGTATCCCATTCCACTCTGTTGTTACTAAAGTTCAGTATCACTGCCAAAACTAAGACATTCCACTGCAAGTCCTAGCTACCACTGCTCTGATATTTCTTCCAAGCACAACATTCCTAGTGAGAAAGAGAAGACACCCTCCCCCCAACATTAAGTTTACACTCAAATCTGATGGGTGCCATGTGTACAGTACTGTCAGCCATTTCTTATCATTCAGAGTCAGACAATTCCCTCAAATCACTCCACGTGTGGGTTAGAGGTTATTCCAGTGCCAATCAGAATATTCCAGAATCAGTTCTCCATACCAACAACCCATGGCCTAGGGTGCAATATAATAAGCCAGTCTGGATCCCCTTTCCTTCAGTTTCCATAGGATATCTCTTGATAACAAATTTCCTAGCTCACTAGTCTTTTCTTGCCATCTCACCTCCGTGAAGATTACTGCCAGTCCCTTGGATGTGTTTTTACAACTTTGAACCACAAAGTGAAAGAACTGAGATCTGAAGTGTTTTCATCCCATGACCTCTCTGTGTTACAAAGTCTTTTTTGGATGTGTACCTTATAACCTCCAAGATCTGTAAACCACTGGATTTCAAGGAGGGGCATGAGGACTCCATCTGTCTACAGAACTGGAGTCCGCCTTGGCTCAGTCAAGAAGTCCCATTGTATTCTCTTCAGAACAGGGGTGAATATTTGCTCTACATCTCTATGAAATTAAAAGATGCCATAAAAGTGGTTCTTCCCAGACCAAGGGAATCTGCCCAAAGGAGAATGGACAGCTCCTCTTCAAGACATAGAAAAGAGGAACTTATTTTAAATAATTTTCCATCCTACAAAAAAAAAATTTTAATCTGACTTCTGGATACTCCATTAGACATCTATGCACTTACCTACGGAGCTCTGCTGAAGCAGGCCCACAAGAATGCTCATTAGTTAAGACATAGCTCTCTGAAGGAAGAACTCATCCTGGGGGGTGGGGGGAGGAGAATCTGGGCAAATGAGCTTGACCCAAAAACTAAACCTCAACTATTTAAGGGCCATGGAAATTTTGAATGCTGCAAGGCATCTATCCCTCAGGTCTGACTCCACACACAAACAAGTGAGTCCTAGGAAGCAGACATATTCCGAGAAAACTTGGGAAGTTTCTCCTTACTAAGAACTCTGTAAGGCACTGGTGCTTAGCAAATGCTCTAGTGGTGTGTATATGCTATCATGTGCCACAGAAGTGACGGTTTGTAGGTAATGATCAGTTCTGCAAGGAACATATGAACTTTTGGTCCCTGAATGACTTGAGGCATCCTGATGTGCCTGCAGCAAATGTGCAGGAGGAGGTAGTGTGCCTGACAGAGGAGAGTGGAACTGGTGTGACTAGAAGTGGTTTCAAAGCCTGTATTAGTATTGGTGCTCACAGAGATGCTGATGCCAACTTATGGAAGCATCATGTTTAGAAAAGGCAGATTGTGGGTAGCAATTTCATACAGCTTTGCTAGTAATGGCCTTGCTGAAGAGGACTGGAACAGAAGAGCAAAAAAATAATAATAATAATAATAAAGGCACATGCTATGATATATCATAAGATCTGTGCCTGAGCATGTATGAGACACTCTTGGGGACTCTTGTCAGTGAGATGAGTTGAAATTCTGACTCATACTATCAAAAGGGCTCTATTACTTTTAGCCTGGATTTCCTTGGACTTGGGAGGCACATGGCTCCTTAAATTAGACACATACAGGCAAATTTGAGAGTGTTTCTTTAAGATAATCAGATGATCAAGTTTTTACTTCTTAACTCATTTCCTAGACAGGATTCTTTTTTTTTTTTTTTTTTACTAATTTGTTTCTATTTGTTTCTAATATTGTCTTTTATGTTTCTAAGAATGAGGAACATTTAACTATTTACTGCTTTTAAAACTTTACATTTCTTTTAATGTAGAGTAGGGTGTCACAGTTTCAAGGACAATAGGGTGATCAAACAGATAAATATGTGTGAATGAGTGACATGATGATTACAAGACAATAGGGAGTGGCTGGAGAAAATGCAGTCCCTTAACAAAAGCATGCTACTTCATTAAAAAAAAGAAAAAAAAAAAAAAACTCTGCTAGGCCTAACAAAACCTGTCTAGTGGCCATATTAACCCAAGAGGCCACCAGGATCATCACCCTATCTTAATTTTTCTAACCCTCACCACATAGAAAGTTGATCTCAATGCAGCACTTCTGCGATCAATGATCTTTTTCATGATTAACATAGATGAAAACCAACAGAAGGATATCATAATATTGCTCCAATTATCCTAGAAGCTGATCAAAAGCAGGGACCCTACTGCTTTATCTTTGTATTCTGTGTACCTATCCAGTTAGTAAATACTAGGCATCATGACCTCATGGAGAAACCACGTCAGATAAATAAAAGTGATAATACCTAACAATCATTGAGTACTCATTTCTTGCTAGGCATTGTACTAAGAGCATTCCATATGCTGCCTCATTTGCTCTTCCCAACTAACTTATTACGTAAGTACTATCGTCATCCCAAATTTACAGATGAAGGGATTAAGGCTAGAGTAAAAAAAATTGTAAAGCAGAGATTCCATGATTCCAAAGTCCATGATTTTAACCAAAATGTAAATACTTATGATAAAGCATGCATATGAGTCAGCAGTTCAAGGATTGTGCAATCAGGTGGAGCAAGGATATTGAATGTAGGTAAAATTTAACAGAGAATTATTGCTTGCAAAAATAGACCTTCAGTACATTATACAGAGGGTAAGAGCAGTGAGTCCAGGAGGTTTGGACAGGAGTTTGGTGGTGGGAGGGGGATGTCAGTGGGGTAAAGGAGAAGTGGGGTCTGACCAGGAGTATACAGAGATAGCCTTGAAACCCAGCTGCTCTTCTACCATAATTTCTCTCTTTCCCTCCCCCCTCCTTCACCCTTCATCTGTCCACTTCCAACTAAGAAGACCTAAACTAAAACTTTGAAAAAATACTCTATTTCATATATTTTAAGCACATTTGATTTTTCTATCCACCTCCCAACCCACCTCTAGGGATCTAGCCTTTATCAAGTTAGGGAAACAGAAAAATATAAACTTTAGTAATCTAAAGAAAAGGACAGAGACTTTCCCCTTCATAGCATACTAGCTATGCTGTAGGCAGTGAATTTCATTGTACTGTGGTTGTTTCCCTCTGAGGGAATGGCTGGAAGAGATCAGAGAGGATGAACCCCCAACTCCCACAGGAACTTGAAAGGCAGAGCCAAGTGCTACTCTTCCCTGTCTCTATACTCTATTTGTGGGGGTGATTTCTAGCACTAATGTTTCTGGCAATGAACACAATTTTCCCACACTGCTTAATGTCACTCTTTGATGGTCAATTTTATATGTCAATTTGTCTAGGTTACAACACCCATGTATTTGGTAAAACATTATTGTACATGTTTCTGTGAATTTATTTTTACATGAGATTTACATTTAAATCAGTAGACTTTGAGTAAGCCAGATCACCCTCCATAGTGAGGTGGGCCTTATCCAATCAGTTGGAGGCCTTAGTAGAAAAAGACTGATCTCCAGGAAAGAAAGGGTAATTCTACCAGCAGACTACCTCTGGAATCACTGCAGCTCTTCCCTGGGTCTCCAGCCACCAGCCTACCTTTTAGATTTTAGACTTTTTAAGCTTCTTTAATCGTGTGAGTCAACTTCTTAAAATAAATCTTTATCTATCTCTATATCTCTTTCTCTTTTTAGATAGAAGATGATAGAAGATAGATGATAGATAGATAGATAGATGATAGATAGATAGATAGATAGATAGATAGATAGATAGATACAGGTGTGTATTAGTGAAATTTCTCTATAGAAATAGAACAAGGGATGTGTGTCTGTGTGTGTGTTCATGTGTAAACACATATGCATATATACACATACATTTCTCTGTGGAGAACTTGACTAATGCCTTATTTTATCAGTTCTAAGATATACTTGTTTGTGTTTTAATGTATCTGGAGTCCTAAGGTATCTTAAATTGATATTGTTTTATTTTTTTTCTTTTTTAATTTTTTTACAAATAGTTTAATGTCAAGTTGGTTTCCATATAACACCCAGTGCTCATCCCCACAAGTGCCCTCCTCCATGCCCATAAATTGATATTGTTTTAAATGAAATATGGTATTTGACAGAGTATTCAATTCCCCCCACCCAACTAGATCTTAATTTGGAACATGCAGGCCAGTATATTGCTCTACTAAGCCAACTGATTATAGTACAACCACCGTCTATGTTATGTGTAGTTATGCAGTAACTTCTTCCCAAGGATCTAGCAACTCTGTGAAGTTTCAATTATTTTCATGATCCTATCATTCAACTTCCATCTGTAAACTCTGAACAATAATTTTTTTCTAAAAGATGAACATTGTGAACATTATGAGGGCTATAGAATCTTAAGTGAATGTTTTGCAAGGGGACAATAGAACCAATAATACAAGATATTTCTCCTCAAGTAACCCTCACCACACTTCAGTCCTACTCTCTTTTCAGCACAGGTTTCTAGACAGTTAGCCATATTATTCTGCTGCAAGTAATAGCATTTTTTTTTCCTCCTAGGTAAATTTTCAGAAGAACCGGATAATTGGACAATACTACAACACGTTTTTGACATTCCAGTTCCTTACACAAAGCTGAGAGCTCCTTGAAGGTAGGAATGGTTCTTAGGTGTGTGTGTATCTCTGGTACTTAGCATGTGTACATGGTACACATCGACATTTGTCAATACATGCATGTCATTGGGGGCACCTGGGTGGCTCAGTTGGTTGACTGTCTGATTTCAGCTCAGGTCATTATCTCATAGTTCATGAATTTAAGCCCCAAGCTCTGTGCTGACAGCTTGGAGGCTAGAGCCTGCTTTGGATTCTCTGTCTACCTCTCTCTGCCCCTCCCCCACTTGTGCTCTGTCTCTCTCTCAAAAATAAATAAGCTTTTAAAATTTTTTTTAAAAAATATGCACATGTCATTGAATATGTTGACTACATTGTGAAGTGTTAGTGAATCCAGGGATCCAAGGGAGGTTGTCTCTTCTAGGTTGTGTACACCTTGAACGTAGCCTAGTCAAAATAGCAAAAGGTTTGGTGCTATCAAAACACTGGTTTTAGTACTGGGTCCACCACTGGGTGGGTCAGGCTGGGTGACTTTGGAACATTAGTTGACTTTTCTGAACTTCAGGCTTTTGCACTTAGAAAGGAAACATTATAATGTAGACGTTGAGGAGTTTTGTGAAGGTTAAAGTAAATTTTGAAAGAAATACTTACTTCATACTCAGAGAAATGTGGTAGGTAGCTCTCATTGCTCCATCTCTCCTCTCCTGCTGTCGCTGCTATATAGCACTAGGCATAGTGCCCAGCACTTTAAAGATATTCAGTCGTGTTTGTTGAATGAATCACAAAGAAGTGTCTTGACAAAAAACATACACTATGCTTGGCTTTTTATAAAACCATGCAATAAATTTTACAGCCTCACTCTTACAAATAAAAAGTAAAGAATCGTTCATGGTGTGATTGTTTTTTACCCTGAACTTTCAGTATTTTCAACTGAGGAGCCCTCAGCTCTACTGTATTAGTCATGTTCTAATCTCTCTCCCATTTCCATATATCATCTTAATTTAAATGAAAAATAACCAATCAACAAACAAAACTACAAATACTTTAAATCACAGAAGTTACCTCAAGTTTATGGTATTACTAGGCTGAATTTTCAGTCGGGGAACCAAAATGCTTATTTCTAGTTTTTAATAAATAATCCAACATTTTAGTGTCAAAATTATTTCCTCTCTCATTTCTTTCTTTCCTTCCTTTTTCTCCTGTCTTCTCCCCTACCCACCATCTGTTTTTTGGGAGTTCAATAAATGAATCATCCAACAGTCGAGCGAACTCTGGATGACACATTACTTTAAGCCACATCTGAAATGAATTGAAAGTTTAAAAGGCCACATAACATCAATCGGTGTGCATGCTATTCTCTCTGAAAGACAATCAGATGCCAGAAAGGCCTTTTGTAACACACTGTCCCAGGACAGTTCCAATATCCACATGTACATTCTTCATGTGAAACATTGGCAGCCATTTTGTACTTACTGTTGTACTTCATAATTCTTCAGATAAATGATTTACACATTATGGTAGCATTAAGTCAGAGAAGTGAAACTAATAGCTAGAGGAAAATGTCGAAACCAAGTTTCAGGTGGCAGTAGGCAGAGCAAAAGCTAGATAGACTAGAAGCTGAGTGCAGACACACTGAAGAAAGGTAGGAAGGAAAGAGGTGTGGGTTGGTGGGTGGATTTATGGCCAGATTAGTTCAAAAACCTGAATCAAATTTCAACTCTAAGCTGTGGAAATTGAGCAGAAGTTCAGTTTGTTTCCAAACAATCTGTTTCCAAACAGAAACTTCATGTGTTCAATGGAACCATTTAGCAGATATTCTGTGTCAGATGTTTAAGACACTGGGGATATATCACTGAACAGAAATCTATAAACTCAGAGATTATGTTTTAGTAGGGAAATATATAATAAACAATGCAACCAATAAATAATGTATATTGAAAGAGAAAGAAGATAAGTGCTATAGAGGAAGAAAACATCAGAGTAAAGAGTAGTGTAAATGCTAGAGTACCAGAGTGGAAGTTTCAGTTTAATGTAGTCTTAACATGAGGATTACTTTAAATATCAATTATTTAAATGATTGAAAATGGCAGAATCACAAAAATAAAAAACAAAGTGTAACATTACAAAAAGAGACAAATTTTATGACATTTAAAAAAACAATTTTCATCAAACTTAAATAAAACATATGCTATGCATGTAACACTAGAGAAGCCCTAAAAACACTTCAGAGATAATTACTTGCCGATATTATTTTTTAATAAAAACACTGTACTGTTAAAACAAAGAACACAGGTATGTGGGTTTTACTTACTGACAAGGTTAAAGTCCTTTAAAAACAGTTTCATCTCATCATTGTCCATGTGACCGATACTATTATCCCTATTTTACAGGTGGGGACATTGAGGGCCAAAGAATGTTTTTATATGACTAAACATAATGACTCAGTGGTAAGGATTACAGAAAATGCATGTCCTAAGCAGCATGCAAATGACTTCATCTTATGTGGGTTTGGCTTTATAAGTTACATTATCTCAGCAGTTTTGTGAACATGACTTTCTTCATGATTAATCCTCATTCTGTCTGATCGTCCCAAGAGAACTGGTTATTGAGAAAAGCTCAGTGAGAGCTGAGGATGAGTGCAAATGCGCGAGAAATGCCATAGCAGTATGCAGAGTGTGACATGCTACAGAGTTTCTCTAATGAACGAATTCAGGAAAAAAACTTAACTACTGCCAAGCAGTTTCAGTTCCGTGTGTGTGTGTGTGTGTGTGTGTGTGTGTGTGTGTTTTCCCTCCTAGAAAAGTACTTTCTTGGCTCTCACTTCACAAGAAAGTGACACAGTCTTTACAGTAAGTTAGTCCCTTATCTCCTTTCACTTTTTAAATCTTAGGAACATGGTTAATACCGTGTGTGTGACTCAGCTAATGAACTTGCTGATTACACTTGGCAAGTGATAGCAATGGCAACAACTCCATTAAACTTAGAAAATAATGATTTCTTTAAATTTGGAATTCAAGATAAAACTGGGAAATTTGTCATGGAGGGGCAAGCTTTTAGGGTTGTCCTAGCACATAATTTAAATTTTTTGGCCAAAAAAGTGCAGCTAATTATGTATTTTCTATATGTTGATCATTCTGAAAATTTTCCAAGTTACTACAGATTAAACTTAAAAGAGGATATTGTATTAATCAGATTTTAAATATTAGTATGTTTCTTGCCAAACTGGTTTCCTTGAAACTTCTTTCATTTGTGTTACCCCACTGTTTCCCATGAAAGAGATGAAGATAAATGTGCAGTGCTGTTAACCCATTTTGCTACTTGGATTGTTATGTTCACACATTTACACACACACACACATACACACACACACACACACAGATGGAGTGCCTAATTATCCAGGAAAAAGGCCACTGAATATTCAAACTATTTTTGCCCAAGTTTCCTTTATTTATCTACCTGTCATTCCATTAGTAGCCATTTTCCTTCCCTTAAAAGGTATCAGAATTAAAACTCCAGAAATACCAAAAGAAACAACTCCTCCCTCCCATTGTCACACTTGTTCTGCTGCTTCTGACCTTGACCCTAATAACTAATCAGGCTTTATCAGAGCCAATCAAACTGACTTGGGTTAAGGTCAATTTAATTAGAACTTGAGTGTGCCATCAGGTGTATGAATTTTTCTCCCTTCCAAAAAGAGGCTAGAAACATGAGAATGGAGCCCTGGTCTGGTTTGCGAGAAAATAAATTGGTTTCACTATGACCACTATGACATCTGGCTGTCTAACATCTCAATTGGATTACAACTAGGTGCCCTACACACAGTTCAATAGGTACACAAGGATACCAGAAGGAAACTTTAACTGGTGAGAATGCTGGAGCTGGAACTGTCAGGAAAATGGGAACAAGAGTAACATCAGCCAGCCTCCAGAAGTTTTGAGAACTTCTGCTTGGCTTCCAAGAACAATTCAGGTGTTAATTCTGGTTTATGAAATTGTCTGTGGTTTGGATACTAGTTACCTTAGAAATCAGCTCTAAGATTATAAAAAGTTCCCAAATTTATACTTCAGACACCCCAGAGTAATACCCTCCCATGAGAAGCCAAGATGATTGGAATTAATGGTGTCCTTAATCTGGCAGAACCCTATTTTGTACCTTCAGTTCCCAACCCCACTCCCGGCTTCCTTTACTGAGTAGAAACGTGAATGTGGGAACACATTGGCATAAATACCTTCATATTGCTGAGTTTTCAAATATTCAAGGTCCAATTTGAGAAGTGTAAATTCAAGTGTGTATTGTAACAAATTCTTATTTATGACACTATGACACATGTTTATTTGTATTAGATCAAATATTTAAACCATTATATTCTCACTGGCAACCACACGTTCCCATGAGCAACGAGATTTAAATAAATTAGGAGTCATCCTCTATAAACACATTGTTTTAATCTGCCTTTATTTATTTATACCAGAGGTTTTAAAGGGTTCAGCAGATTTTTTTCCCCTTAACCCTTTTGTGGGATTGATTTAACCTGCATGCACTTGTACCTTTACTATTACATACTAACTACTCAACCATTATCTCATTTTTCCAAGAAATTCTGAAAATTCTTTGATCCAAACAGTGAACTGTTGAGGCAGTCTGGTAAATCACCCAAAGTATTCCCTGGAACCAGTAGTATTGTCAATGCTCAATGCATTGACTTTTTAAATATTCTTCAGAGTGTTCTAGGACAATTCTGTGACATTCCTTTCACTTGCAGCTTGTCTTCCTAATATTTTCTTGACAAGCAGTAAAACAGAAGCAAACTGGTTAAGAGGCTTGCCTAAGGCCATCCAATAGATTAGTAACAGAAGTGGGATTGGCATACCCTATCTTCTTGAAGAAAGCTTTATGTGTGTATGCATTTTTCTACCAACTTAAATTACCCTGTATACTATCAGCAGAGTGTCTCAACACATTGTTCTTGCTGTTTTTGTGAAAACAGGTATGGACCACAGACACATGAGAAGGCCGTATAAAAGAACAAGAAATAAGTAGA